ACTTCCATGCCAGTGAGAACCACCTGGTGCCATTCTCACGCCAAGGCATCCTAAAGGCTCCCGCTTCTGCCTGGTCTCGCTGCTGCGTGAGGGTTTTGGACCGTTAAACAGTCCTTCCTGCAGCGCGGGATGATGGAAGTCAGAAGTGAATGTTTTCCCAAGACTTTATTTAGTTCAGTTCAAAATAGACCTCTGACAAGGACAGTAATAACAAACGTCAGCAGGGCACTGCTGGTGTAACGGTGTAAAAGTGGACCCGAAGCTTGCTGCATGTCATGTGGGAAATTTTACCATTGTAACCTCTGTGCTGTGTTGTGGGAAAGTCCCAGAATGGGGCATGGCACACGGGATGGTTTGACCCCCACTGTGCTAACTAAGGCTGTGCTCTCTGTGCTCTCAGCACCATGTAGCTGAGGCTGCCATGGCAGTGCTTCAGCTGGGTATGCTCCCATCCTGGTGACCTTGCACAGGAAACACAGGCTCAAACTGTGAAAGTGAGACTGCTACAAGTTTTGTTTGCTAAATAGTAATACAGAACCCACACCAGAGCTTGGCTCACTTTGTCCATTGGGCCACTGTGGTGAAAGAGCTGCCATGAGCTTCCAGGATTCCATGTGTGGAAAGGAATCCTAAGGGAAATCAGGCTGACGGCCAAATCTATACTGACTAGTTCCATATGGCAGTAGTTTGCTGCTTTGATCTCTTATTCCTGAAGAGTTTCCCAGTGAGAGATCTGTGTTTAGTGAATGTGAATGTTTGGGCTATCTTTGTTGAACACTCAGATCCATAAACACTGAGATGTCTACAGACCTCAATTTGAAAACTGCATTTTTAGTACATATAAATATTCTTTATTTTAATTCTTTCTTTTCTATCTGCAATTAATTGCCCTAGAATGCATTTCTTTATGCTTCACTAAGGATATTTTATCATGAGAAAGAAAGTAGAGGGGATCCATGACAATGCCAGATATTTTGAATGGAATTTAGATTTGCAGACTCATGACATATTTTTGCTTGTCCAGTGTCCTAATTCAAGGTCTGCCCTCTGTGTCCAAAAGCAGATTCAAAGTCATGATTTCTTTTGACCTTGTAGAGATAAAGACATGGATTTTTGTGACTCGCAGTGTGGACTGATGATCATAGTCCATCAGGTCAGTGGTCAATTAAATAAATGTATCAGTGGAAATTGGTGGAAATACACTGATAAGAAAGAAGAATCAATCGGGAAGAAGCGGAATCTGCCACTGTATCTTTTAGATACACATTGATACGAAGTCTTTAATACAACTCCTCATTTCATGTTCTAGATATTTCACATAGATAACTGTGTAATAATGTAACAGCAGACCATAGAAAGGTTCCGGTAAAAAACAAAACAAACAAAAAAACCACCCAGCAACAGCGCTATCATCTTTCTGCAGCACAGGCTGTAATGCTGGCAAGGCTCTCTGTGGCACTTGTTCTAGGTTTTGTTTGGCTCTTGGGCACAAAACTAGCCTGGGCGATGGGAAGAGAACAGACTCGGTGCTGTGGCCAACTAGGTGAAAGGCTGTACTTGTTGCGTGGCGTGGCTTTAGCAGCACAAAGAGCTTGTGTAATGGACACAAAGGCCCCAAGTTTAATGGGAGAGTCAGGAGGTGGTGAGAAATACATCAGGAAATAGAAAAAGGAAGCAAAGAAATATAGAGCAGGGAAGTTTTTATAGGAGGAACACATCGAAGGGGTATGTCTGCTCCTCTGAGCACTGCAGAAATATATGAGCTGCCTTGAGTAAATGAAGGCCATCCTGCTGAGTTGGCATGGAATGAGGAGAGAAAGGGAATTTAGGTGTCTCTACTCAGTGCTGTGCACTGACTTGTTGATGTTAAGGGAAGAAACACTTCCTGAGGAAACTGAAAAAAAAAACAACAGAAAATTCAATTTTGGTGTTAGTTTTCTTGTCCTCTTATGGAATATAATCTAGAGATTGGCAAGATAAGACTCTGAAAGTATGCCTTTTGGAGGATGACTTTGGTGTTGTCCCACCAGGGCTTTCCAGGCAGTGACATGCAGCAGCACCTCTCCTGGCACCAGTGCAAAGAGGTGTTTAAACTGGAATACCAGGCTACGGTGGTACACATAGCCTGCCTTCTACATGGAAAATAGCTGCAGGACAGTGATTCCACGTTCAAAGCAATTTAATCATCTTCAGCTACTCTGCCCATCATTCGTGTGTCAACACGAAGCTCTCAAGAAGGCTGCCTTGCCAGTAATACTGTTTCTTAATGACCGTGCCCCCAGTTTTGAGTGTCAGTGTCCCTTCTTACACATCTGATTACCTCCATCTTGTGACTGCCTTCTGTTCTGTCAGCAGCAAGTGTCCACACTCTTTCTCTTCTCTCCTATGCTGATGAGTTCTTAGAATATCCTAAGTTGGGAGGGGCCCATGAGGATCTTTCAAAACATGTATTTACACAGCAACTTGCCAATAAGGCTGTGCGCCAGGCCCGTAGGTGTTAAAATATGAAATGACTCTATTACAGTTAGAAAGGAGGGAGATAGTTTCATACCAAATGTCGCAGTCTCTAACCACCACTCATCCTGCTACATTTCACAGTCGGTTCCAGCAGAGCCCATTTTGTTGCCATCTGAGTCCTTGACATTTCTTACTGGACCAAGCGTTGTTTGTGTAAATGTATTTGTTAGCTTGGGGGTTTGGTTACATCTGAATGGTGACAGGGGATGTGGGAGCTTCAGGATGAGCTGCATGGAGCCAGCAGTTGGGCTCGATGGTTGGTGTGGGTGCCTTCCTAAGTGGGACATCCTGTGATCCTGTGGCCATAGGATGTACCTTTTGGAAGGGCAAGGAACGCCCCTTGCTCTGCCATGGAAAATTCCCACTCTTTCTTAATGTCTACCTGCATTTTTTAAAATTTATTTATTTTAAGGACAGAAAAAAAGAAATATAATTAATTTTTCCTTTGATGTGTCCCAGCATTTTGGAGAGAGCTGGTGACACTTTTTCTAGCTATGGGACAGTGCCAAAGAGCTGACCGAATTTACAAGGCAAACAAACAAAAAGATCCACAACCTCCCGTTACAGCGCTGTCACTGGCACCAATTCCACCCTCTGTAGAGGATCTTGGATCAGCCGTGGGGGATTGTCAGGTCTGGATGCCAAGGAAGCAGGCTGTATAATAGCACTTAATTAGTACAGGAAGCAGCAGACATTGCAAATACTCACTGGGGTGAGATTAAAGAGAGAAGAGTTCCATTCTAACACTGCCCTATCAGTGTGATCTCATTGGCAATAATTTAGAATGAAGACGTTCTGCTGTAATCTGCAGCTGGAATCAGGGGGTTCTTGCATTTCCTCTTTCTTCAGATTTCTCTCTGAAAAACCAAACAATCAGCACCTTGCTTGCTCAGTTACTGATCTTAATTTACATACTCTGTAGGGCAAGCTTGTTTTTATCTTGGCTCTTTGGTCCCTTATGCTGATTTCTGGTTGCTTTTTCAGGCAAGTTTGAAACCTCTTCCCAGATCACAATCTTCCACCAGTAGTCCACCACATCTTATATTCATTGTTTCCCTCTGCCAAGTATAACTGTCACCTCTCATTTTTAACAGTTAGCTTTCAGGGCAGAGCAAACACTCCATGCAGTTAATGCGGTCTGAAGAAACGCATATAAGCAAACCCAAGAATGAATTGTTAGTGTCATTAAACTTAGTAACCCAAGCAAAGAGGTCTGGGTACAGAGCTAACTTTCCTTGTTCAAACCATTCAGCTCTTGCAGCTTGCTCCCAGTGATGCTGCAGCTGCTGAGTGATGTTGCAGAGAGCTGGAATGCAGGGAGCTGAAACTCCTGAGTTTCCATCTCTTCCCTGCAAGGGAAATGTTGCTAAATATGGTGCTTTCCTCCTGCAGAGCAGCTGCTGGAATTGCACTGGCAGCAGCCTGCATCATGTAACTCTTCTGCATTTCGTTCTGTTCAGAGGAGCTGCTCCTGACCCTGATGTCCTCTCTCCCCCGATTCCCTGCCCTGTTCTCAGCCTTCCTGCTGGCACACCACAACACCATGCACTCTGCACCTTGGGTTTCGCTCAGGGTGAGCCACAGCCAGGAGCTGACTCTATTAGTGGGACTTCCCCACAGGTTCAAGCCCTGCCAATCCCTCTGTTATCCCAACTCATTTTCCCCTGCTTCAGGAAGGTCTGCAAGCCCTTTCAGCCCCCCCTTCCATTTCTCCACATTGCCAACTTGGTCATGAGGTCCCTGTGTGCTCCACAATCTGTTTTTATCTAATCACCTAAAGCTATTAAATGAAGACTGACACTGTTAGTGCAGGCAGTCACAGCTAGATGTAGGCTGTTGCTAAGTGTGTAACAGCAACTAGCTTTCCCTTGCTGTCTTTATGACAAAGACTTCATTCTCACCTGTGTGAGGCCTATTAGGGATGACCCACGCAGGAGGAGCTGCTGGTGCAACACATCAGCCCTGCAGTGAGTGGAGCTGGTGACTGATCTGGCTCCCAGGATGCCCGAATTAGAGATGCAGATTTCGTATCAGGAAAAGCTTCAGGAAAAGAAGTGAACAGTTAATTTGAGGTAATTTGAATGGGAAAATCAGTACGTTGTTACCGTCACTGCCAGCTAAAAGAAGGGGGAAAAAAAAAAGAGGAAAAAAGGTGTTGGATCCCTGGTTGGTCGGGCAGAGGGTCATCCCGAGTCGGGCAGCCCCGGTGCGGCGCTCGGTTCCCATGGCTGCCTCCGACAGGGCTGCGGTAAATGGGTCAGAGCGGGCGGTGCGGGAAGAGACAAAGGAAATTGGGGACCGGGAGAAGGGCGTGGGGCACTCGTTGCGATGCGTGCGCATCCCCGCACAGGCTGATCTCGCTTTGTTTCGGCAGGATTCGGGCACACCCCGCAGAGCCGGGCACGCCGCGGGGCTCGGAGCTCCTCACGCCCCAAGAAGCTCAACGCCCGGCGGCCACACGCAGCCCCGAGGGGGCGGGCGGGAGGCAACGCGGGCCAATGGGCGCGGAGCTCCGGCGAGGGGGGCGGGGCCTCGCGTTGCGGGGAGCCAATGAGATGCGGGCTAGCGGGGCGGCTCGCAACAGGAGGTTGCGACCGAGCGCGGCGGGGGGACTCGGGCGGGCGGCGGGGAGAGCCATGGAGGAGCGCGGGGCCGAGCCGGGTCTGCGCCGCTTCACCTGGGAGGAGATCGCGCAGCGCACGGGCCGGGGCCCGGCGGCGGAGGAGCGCTGGCTGGTGATCGATAGGAAGGTGTACGATATCAGCCGTTTCCATCGGCGGCATCCGGGCGGCTCCCGCGTCATCAGCCACTACGCCGGGCAGGACGCCACGGTGAGGGGCCGCGGGGCCGGGGAGGAATGGGGCGTGAGCGCTGCTGGAATGGAACGGGACACGGGGCGGTTCGTGGGTTTCCGCTACTGCCTCTCAGCAGCGCGCTGTAAGGAAGTGCCGTTGTTTTCTGTAAGAAAATATAACAAAATAAGAGGGAAGGGAAAAAAACGACAAACAAAAGAAGAAAAGAGCACCGCTTTGCGTGTGCTGAGCGCCGCGGTTGCGCCCTGGACGCTGGCAGGGAGAGGCGGCCGTCCCTCTGCTCCGCGCTTTGCGCCCCGCTGCTGCTGGCCATTGGTCTGAGCGCGTGGTGCCATCCGCGCCCGGCCCGCTGCCGCCTCCCGCTGCTCCGCGCTGCCGGAGACACGACGAGGGCCGCCCTCCCCCTGCAATCCCTCCGCCGATCCGCGCCCTCAGCTTGCTGCCTCCGAGCTGCGGCGGAACTGACCCTGTGGCTGCGCTGCCGCTGTTTGGAACCCACCGCTGTCTCGTGTTTTTAACCCGGTGGTGTTTTTTCACCTGGCTGTCTGGTTGCCGGGCCAGGCCGGTCGGGGCTCGGGCACCTGATCTAGTAGGGGTCCCTGTTCGTTGCAGGGGAGTTGGACCAGATGGCCTTTAAGGGTCCCTTCCACCTCAAACGATTCTGTGGTTGACACTGCAATTAGCTGATAAAAGTAACTGTTTTCCCTAATTAGGATCTTCAGCATAGTAAGCGGGAAAAAGAAAGTTACTGGGGTACTCTTCTGTGATGTGGAGGGGAGCCAGCTGGGAGCACGAAGCACCAACCAAAAAAACAAGAATATTCCAGTGAGGTGTGGAAGTATGGCCTTTAGGGATTGCCTCATAACAATTGGAGCAATGTCGGGGCTTTGAGAGGCTGGTGTCAGTCCCCAGGAGCTGCCATCATCTGTCTGTGGTCCCTCTTGCTCCATTTTTCAGCCAGCTGATTCTGTTTTTGTGCTAATGTTTTGTCCCTGTCCACAGTCTGGCTTTAATTTCCTGGTATGTTGTATGAGGACAATAAGATAGAAGCTAAAGACAAAAGAGAGGGAGAGAGGAATATGTGGTTGAGGTGACAAATCTTGTGGCTCAGCACACTGTGAAAGAGAAGGGTGGATGTGGCTCTAGGTGGTGTGCTTTAGTGGGCGTAACAGTGATGGGTTTATAGCTGGATTGGGTGATCGTGATGGTCTTTTCTGACCTTCATGATTCTGTGGAATTTTAAGGTTAGGTGAGAGTAAGCCTGTGTTCCGTGGTGAGCTGTACTTCATAGCAGCCTGATAGAAACTAATGCAGAAAATTCAGCTACAAATAATTATTCACAGTGAGAAGAAAGCAGTAAAGTTCATGGCAGAAATATCAGATCCTGCCAACTCTGTTGACTGGTTTGCTTTTGACTTAATCCAGGACATCATGAAATAGCTTTCTTTTGCCACCACCCAAAGTGTTGTTTTTTGTCGTTTTTATCATCCTGTTCCTATATCTGTATTTCAGGATCCTTTCATAGCATTTCATCTTGACAAGACATTGGTGAAAAAGTACATGAGCCCACTCTTGATTGGGGAACTGGCACCGGACCAACCCAGCTTTGAACCCAGTAAGAATGTAAGTATCTCAAAAATTTTGGTATTTGGGTTAAAGCCGCGCTGTTTGCTTTTTCTTAGAAGCAGCCAGAATGCCAACCAATCACCCATAGGTGAGAATGGAGAGAGCAGATGCAGTCAGCTAAGAAAGGATCCCAGAAGTCATTGCCTGCTTGGGGTCATGATGCAGCTGCTGAAGATGGGTCTCTGAAGTGACTGATCCCCAGCACTGCCCCATTGCCACAGTAACTCCCTGAAGAGGAGGCACAACGCTCCTCTTGGGGTTCCTGGGGTATTTTCAGACCAGTAGGTACATATTCTTGCATCTCCCTACAGAAAAAGCTGGTAGAAGATTTCCGTGAGCTCCGTGCTACTGTTGAGAAGATGGGGCTTCTCAAACCCAACCGTGCCTTTTTCCTACTGCATCTTTGTCACATCTTGGCGCTGGATGTTGCAGCATGGCTCACCATCTGGTACTTTGGATCATCCACCATGCCTTTCCTCTTCTCTGCGTTGCTTCTAGGCACTGTCCAGGTAAGCAGTTACTCACAGAAAGTGAGCAAAGAAAAAAAAGCCAAAAAAGTCCCAGAAACCCCTAACAGTAGTCCTTTCAGACTGAGCATGGGAGAAAGTTTGGTCTTTGTAAAATTCCCAAAGTTCTGCCTTTCTTCAGGTTCCACTGAGGGGTCAGAACTGCAGTACCATGACATGAGTTTTTTGGTAGAGCAGACTTCACGCTGCTTTCTGCTTCCCACAGCCCATCAAAGCTCTCCTTATTTCCAGCTTTCCTCACACAAAGTAAAGCCGTGCTGCACTTCTGAGGTCTCTTGTGCCAGAGCTCTAAGGAACTGCGCTCTGGCCAAGCCACCAAGTTCCCATGGGAACATATAGTGAGTTAGAGAAGAGGGCAGAACAGCTCTGAAAGCCCCAGCTATTCCTGCTGCAGCCAGCTGATCCTTTTGGAATTACAAGTACTTGGAGAAGGCAGCAGCAAGCTGCTCCTAAAAGGGGACTTTGTTGCCAATTTCAGTACAGTTTTGTAAGAGAGCGAGTGCTGATTGTTAGCTACGCTAATTTTTCCTTCCTTTAGTCTGGGACTAAATGTCATTAGCAGAGTCTGAACTGCACTGCTATACAGCAAAAGGTGATTGTTTGATCGGGTATTAGTAATGGAAATGCTTCTCTGTGATTATGGAATGTGCTCTTGCTAATCAGTGATGTCTCATGGGGAATGTGGGAATGGTAACCGTAGAGGAGAAACCCCTTTGTGGAAGCAAAGGCTCCCAACTCTTTTTTTTCTTTTTTTTGCCATCCAGGCCCAGGCTGGCTGGCTCCAACATGATTTTGGACATCTTTCAGTCTTTAGTGAGTCCAAATGGAACCACTGGGTGCACAAGTTTGTGATCGGCCACTTGAAGGTGAGCAATCACTGCTGGGTGATCTACCAGAGAAGAGTCCAGGAGTCTCTGCTGTTAAAAACAACCTCTGTATAAGAAGGAAGAAATGCAAGGAGCTGCTGGGGAGGGAGGACTATGGGCAGAAGGTGCAGATTATTAGTGGCACTGTATTCTCAATTCTTCTTCTCTACAGTGCCCTGAAAAAAGGTTGTAATGTACTTCTCCTGGGTAACTGTGATACGATGAGAGGGAATGACCTTGAGTGGTGCCAGAGGAGGTTCAGATTGTGTTGTAGGAAACATTTCTTCTCAGAAGGAGTGGTGAGGCATTGAAACAGGCTGCCCAGTGATGTGGTGGAGTGGCACCTCCAGTAACAGTTCAAGAAACACACAGACATGGCACTGAGGGAGGGACGTGGTCAGTGGGCATGGTGGGGATGGGTTGGGGATGGACTTGCCGATCTTAGTGGTCTTTTCCAACCTTAATGATTCTATGATTCCTGCAGGGAGCACCAGCCAGCTGGTGGAACCACCTTCACTTCCAGCACCACGCGAAACCCAACTGCTTCCGAAAGGACCCTGATGTTAACATGCACCCCTTATTTTTTGCTTTGGGAAAAAAGCTCTCTGTAGAGGTGAGACCTAGTGAAGTATGTGAGGTTGCAGCATGCAGTTTTGGAAAGCTGTGGAGAGCTGGGAGACAAGAGACTGGTTGGTTTGGTGAACGGACTGTGTCAGTATTTAATGAATGTATGGAAGAAGCACCTTGGCATTAGTGGACTTTGAATTAGTTTGGGTACGGACAGGGATGTCATCGAGTTCCTTGGGGGTGTCAGCAATATGATCTGTTACCTTGATACGAGAACACTGGAACAGTAGCAGCCTCAGGGGGAGGATAATCTGTTCACCCCCCTCCCTGTAGGCACAATTTAGATTCTAGATGTTTATTTCTGTGCTTTGGAGACTAACTGCGAGTAGGTGGGGAGTTTTACACACTGTCACCTTTGTTTATGATATCATAGGTTTCTCTTCTTAATGAAGCTCTATATTGGCAGCAAACTGTTCTCAGTGCTGTGTGGTATGTTTTCTTAAGCAACCATGCCCTCTGTAGGGCAAGAGCTTCCAGTGCACTTTACTGTTAGCGATGCAAGAAGCTACCCAGCCCATTGCACATCCAAGGCAGGGAGATCAGGTTCTCTTCAGAAAAAATGGCACAGCAGTTGTAGACTGAAGTTCCAGGGAAAAAATGAAGCCAATGGCACTGTGGAGACTAGTATTGTTTTGACAGGATATCTGTTTGATAGGAGGTATCTAAGCATGCTTTTTTAGGAATTGATAAGATTGTATATGGAAATGTCTTTACGGCCTGTGTAATTTGCTTATTTTAACAGCTTGGTGAACAAAAGAAGAAATTCATGCCTTATAACCACCAGCACAAGTACTTCTTCATCAGTGAGTGACCCTACATTTTACAGTTCTGTGGACAGCATGTTCTCAACCCCTCAATTTTCCACTTCACATCAGTGTGATTACGAAGGCATGGTTGATATCTCTGCAATCTCTTTCTCCATTACAGTTGGTCCCCCAGCTCTGGTGCCTCTTTACTTCCAGTGGTACATATTCTACTTTGTAGTACAGAGGAAGAAGTGGGTGGTAAGTAAATTCCATTTTGCTGTTGGTAACTTTTCCTTGTATTAAAGAAACATTTCAGTTTAGGAAATGCTGCATTAATAGGAAGATCTTTGAGCCATTCATCTCCCTGTCAAGAAGGTGGGGTTATATGATTGGGAAATAATGTTTGATGGAGGAGAGAGGCAACTTTCCAGGCAGCCCTTCTCTGAAAAGTTCCATTCAGGTCTGGGTAACAAAAGGTGTTGCCCAAGTGAATGGTCTGATGTGGTTGTCCAACCACTCTCCATCATATTTGGTAAGTTGTGGCAGTCAGGTGGTGTCCTTGGTGACTGGAAAAAGGGAAGCATTGTTCCCATGTTCAAGAAAGGTAGAAATGAAGATCCTGGAAACTATAGTCACACCTCTGTACCTAGAATATCTGTTCCATGATCTTCTCCTGTTAAGGCACATGGAAGCTAGGGAGGTGATTTGAGATAGTTAATGTAGCTTCACCAAGGGCAAATTTTGCCTGACCTGTCTGGAGTCCTTCTGTGATGGAGCGCCTGCACCAGTGGACAAGGGAAACGAACTGATGTCATCTATGTCATCATTGGTCTTTTCTAAGGCCTTTGACATGGTCCTGCTCAACAGTCTTGTCTCTAAATTGGAGAGAGATGGATTTAAATGCCAATAATTCTTCCTCTGAACAAAGTTCTATCTGTTCCCTTTATTACAGGATCTGGCCTGGATGCTGACCTTCTACATCCGATTCTTTCTCACCTACCTGCCCTTACTGGGCGTGAAGGGTATCCTGGGGCTTCATCTGTTAGTCAGGTATCATTCAGTTTAAAATTGAGTGCATTTCCTCTACTTGGTTCCCTTCGTATCACCACTTCAGCCTCCTGGTTATCTTTTCCATCTGCTCCCTATTCCATTCCCTTATTCCTTTCAGCAAGACAGAGCTTGTTTGTTTGGCATGTGTCTGTAGAAGGTCTGTATAGGCCTGATCTGCTGGACAGATGTTTGGGGTTCCTGGTGTTCATTTTATCAATTGTTGACTAGCTTATATAAATACAAAACTTCATCAATTTATGATTAGCTTTTGTAAGTACAAGTGCTTTGTTCTGACTAGTTAGGTATTGGTGTGGGATCAGTGATGGTTTTGTGTTGTTTTTGTATGCACAGGTTCATAGAGAGTAACTGGTTTGTCTGGATTACACAAATGAATCACATCCCAATGCATATTGATTATGATAAGAATGTGGACTGGTTCTCTACCCAGGTAAGACCTTCTTTCCAGAGAGCTGTGTCCTTGAATGAGGGAACATGCATAACACCCAAGAGAGCTGATCACAGCAGCGATGGAAACTGAGAGAGGAAAACATAAGCAGCTTGTCCTCACTGTGTGAAGTGAGTGATACGTGCAAAGAAAGGGGGTGCAGAAGTGGGATGGAGATGATTGCAGAATACAGATTCTGTCAAAGAAATAAAAACCAAAGATGCTACAGTGGTCTTCAGATGGAGATCTTCCCACGTGTGAAGGGTGAATCTCACGCTTTGTGTTTTGTCTCGTTTGAACTGAAGGCATTACGTAGTTTAAGTGAGATGTGAGGGGACCTGCACAGCAAATCACTTCTCTTACTGGGGAAATCATGTCTATTCTCCTAAATGATTTCCTTAGCAATCACATACCACAGCATGACCATCTCATGTTGACTTGAGATGGCTTTTGGAATTGCTGTATTCAGTGAGGAGGCATGTGATAAGGAACTTCTGCCTGCTTACTGTTGGCTCTGACGCATGTAAGGGAAGGGGCAATCCTCAAACACTACTTAATTATTATATTTTTTCTCTCAGCTCCAGGCAACCTGTAATGTTCGTCAGTCCTTATTCAATGACTGGTTCAGTGGACATCTGAACTTCCAGATTGAGCACCAGTGAGTTGAAGCATGGGTTGGGGATGTGAGAGTATTTCAGGGAGTGCTAGTTACATGAGACCTGAGGAGCCATTTAGGTCCATGTCTCTCTATCAGCTAAGGCAGGAACAACGTAAAATGTGGCTAGTTTTTGTGTTCTTTATAAGGAGATGGAATCATCACATGGGAAATCCATATGGTGGTCATAAACTTCTTGGAGTGCTGGTGAGTACCAAAACCACTTCTGATATGGGAAGCATGGCATAGGAGTGAATGAGAATTGCCAGCTTCCTGCTGAGTACAGCTATTGAGTGAAGTGGTGTGAGAGACCACTGCAGAATGCTAATGGCTGTAGGCATAAAGTGAGGCTGTGTGCCTCCTAAGCTTAGGTTCAGAAGAGATATGGGAACTGTGCAAGGCAATAATGGAATTCCCTTTTTCCACTCCCCACAGCCTTTTTCCTACAATGCCTCGACACAATTACTGGAAGGTGGCCCCTTTGGTGAAGTCCTTGTGTGCCAAGCATGGTATTGAGTACCACTGCAAGCCATTACTCACCGCCTTTGCAGATATAGTATAGTATGTATCAACTCACTGCATTCTCTGGGTAAAGGGCTATTCAACATTAGAGTGAACAAGCAAAGGACATAGAAGGGGGTGTCCCCTTTTCTTTCCCTCCCTCATCACCCCCCGTATTTCTTTTCCATTGAAAAGTCATGCATCTCTCTTCTACCGTGCTTGTTCCTTTTGCTTAATTCTACTCAGATTGTTTTCTTAGCCTTCCAGTCTTCATCTGATATAGACATTCTTTCTTATCTTTTCTAAGGAGCTATAGACTACACTGACTTGTCTCTAAGGATCTCCTTTCCTTAATCTATAGATGGGAATTCTTCCCACGAGTTTATGGGACAGTATAGATGCTGTATTTTATTACCTCGTTTCTAAGGAAATGTGGTTCTCTCTTGGCAGCTCTTTGAAAGATTCAGGGGAACTCTGGCTAGATGCTTATCTACATAAATAAGAAGCAGTGGATTCTCACAGAGGAATTCCCCACCCTTATTTCTTCCTGTGGAGATCGCCATAAGGACGCTGCACAAAGGAGAGAGAGCTGGCTAAGCCAGAGGTGGGGAGGTGACACAGCTTAATTCCAGTGATGAATGTGATTTATACAATTTTTTTTAAAAGGTGTGTTCTTAATTCTTCTTGTGCTTCTTTCATTTCTCTTCTCTGGTGCTGAGATACAGGGAAAAGTAGAATGGAGGAGGTGGTTCCATCAAGCTGGAGGCTTCTTTGGGACTGGGAACAAATTGCTTTCTGTGTGCTGACACTTCATTTGCTGAGTATATAGGAGAGAAATCTCTTGTCTAACATAGGCTTTGTTGAGGTGGCTTCTCATTATGAATGTAGTAAGAAAGCTGAGATAATACGCGGTGGGAGTAATTGAAATGTGAAGGCAATAAGAGGAAATTGTGTATGTGCTATGTTTTCAAAAACCTATGTGTAATCAGCAATGGCAATAGAAGTCCCCAAACCAAGGGGCAGTGGGGAGCGTATGAGAGCTCATACCACTATTAATGTATATATGGATGATGGTGAAAAGGTGCAGGCAGCAGTTCTATAGGAATAAGCGTGAGGAAATTAGAGACCGAAGGCAGAGAACAGGAAAGTGCAGGCCTGTGGGTGTGAGAGCCCGGAGTGCCATTTTCTGTGGGTATGTTCCCCTGCATTTCTCTTCTGTGCTGAAGGCCACTGAGTTATTTGACCATTCCTAACTTCCTGTGGAGTCTCTGCAAATGATTCCCACAGTGCCATACTTCTGAGTGTTATTGAACTAATTACTGAAATACGGAATATCCGTAGTTGGGATGGGTTACTACGGAACCAAAAAGTGTGTTGGCCTTCTGAAGCTTCACTTCTTTTTTTTAAATTCAGGATGAAAGGGTGATTTGCTTAGCAGAATACTCAGAATTTCTGGCCCAAGGAGTATTATGGGTTCCTGTAGAATAACTGAATTGAGTTGTAAAAACATTATGGTTTGGGGTACTGTTAAATTACATCTAACCCTTCAGCCAACTGAAGTCAGCAGGCTGCATATCTGCAGGCACACATCAGCCAAACCATTGCTGATCTTTCCCTGTTGGATGATGTGCCTTCAAAACACACCCCAAGAGGGCATTACTGTGTGATTGATTGTAGTGTTAATTAGCCTTACTGTGTTCCCCAGTGTATTTTCCTTTACTGCACCAGTGCTACAGCTGCCAAACAGGATACAGCTCTTGGCATAGCAGTAATGAAGATGTCTCCATCACGTTTTTGTCTTCAAGCATTTTAGGTTTTTTGTCTGTTTTTTGGGACCAATCCCTTTTTCTATCGTCTCTCAGGTGGATAAATAAGATGTAGTTTTCCACGTGTTTTGTGCTCTCTTTCTTGCCCAGCTGCTAACTGTAAATACAGTGCCTGACTTTAAGGAAGATAATGGTGCTTTTTCTGGTCAACATCCAAAAGGAGTATGGCTTGTGAAGAGATAGAGGAAATGCATCTTCTCAGGCTAAGATTATTTTTAAGCACAGAATAAAATCGTAATGGAAATAATAAAAATATAATTAAATCATCAATAACTGTTGATTTAAAAACTGTAAAGGAAATGGGCCTTAGTCACTCTTTCCTATCTTGTTTTTTCCTGCTGTTTCTCTCCTTTTATTATTAGAACTGTTGATGGAGGAAGTCTTAATAATAAAACTTCTTACCTTACAAACTATTGCTGTCACGAGAGTAAAATATTTCTGTGTAAGAGTCAGCATTCTTTAAAGCATGGAATAAATGCTTACAGCTGCAGAAAGAGCTGTGGTAGACATCAGTATTTGTATTTTGGAGGAAGGGATTGCTTAATCAGCTTTGTCGTTTTTAGCTTGTGTGAAGTATGCGTACAAGCAAACCAAAATGAAGTGTACCAAAACAAAACCACATGCCATGATGAGGAGGAGAGGGAAAAAATGACCCCTGAATCTGGAAGTTGCACTTCCGAAACTTAGCAATGTTTGCGTTTTAGGAAATCAAGAGCTGTTCTGTAAGGACTTGCATTCAACAAGCTATTAGCTCTCAGATGAAACCTCAGAGTGGCTCCATTAATCCCTCAGCAGCAGGGGCAAGCCTCGTGGCTTTGGCTGTTCTGGGCAGTATCACCCAAAACCTTGGTTGTGGAATGGGAGGTGGGGGAAGATTGATGTTTGACTGCATTTAAAGTTTTCTGCAACCTTGGATTGTTGGCCCTAAGCCACAAGCAGCAAAAGTCCTGTTACACTGGTCTGAACAGCTGTGGTTTAATGTCTTAGCTCTGTAGTAGATACTCCAGGCTAGGCTTTTCTGGCATGTGGATGAAGCTGGACAAGTAGGGAGCTGCTATGCTAGAAAAGAGAAAACACTGAAGGTGAGGATGCTTCTGAAGATCCTCCAGGGAGCATCTAATTCAGGTGTCACAACTCAAAATTTAAACTGCTGGATCGAGCCGTACAGAGTGTTCTGGTAGCAAGAGGAGCTGGAATGCAAGAATTTTTGCTTTCCTTCTGTGGACTAGTGAACCTTCAATTCAGATCGCAAGTAGAAAATTGCAACTGACAACAAAGGCCCTTTTCCTATTTTGTCAGAGCAGATTTTCAGTCATATCTGTCAAAAGGAACTGATCTTCTGCTTCTCTGGCTGCTGGATACTGAGTACTCTAGTCAGAGAGATCCTTTATAAAGATCCAGTGTGTTTTTGAAGGAAGGCAGCTAGACTGCAGCTCAGTTCACGAAGCTTACTTGAAAGCACTTACCAGATGGATTGTAACAAGTAAGGTAAGTGGAAAAAATCCTTGTGCCAAGAGAGTTGTAAGTATTCAACACTCGCATTGGAAGTGCTTGGTATTGCCTAGCAAGTGATGGGGTTTTTTGGTGCTTTTTTTTTTTTTTTCCAGTGCCCAGAGTCAGAATGTTACTATCTAAATATTTAATTTCAAAAATTCAAATAATTTAAGCTTTCCCCAGGGATAAGAATCTAAGAATTAACAGTTTTGAAGACAGTAGGCACTAAGTGGAACTTAAACACATTAAGACTTTGGAGGATCTTGTGTCTCCTCTGCCACTGGAAAGAAGAAGCATCTGCAATACAGTAGATCACTTGCCCAGGTAATCAGTGAAAATGACACGATGAACTGATTCATAATCCTAAAAAGTAAGACCGAAAGCAGACCTGAGTCAAGATACTCAGCACTGTAAATAGTGAGTTTGCTAGGAGCTCTGCAGGACTGCTCAAGAGGAGAAATGGGCTGTATAACAAATCAATTTCTATGATCGCTCTGGGCTTCTTGAATTCCATTGTGGCAGGTTACTCTCAGAGTTTGGGTATTGAAATTTTATAGCAGTGAACTGCAAGTCCAAGGCCTCTTTCAGTTTCTCCCAGTATGTGCTCAAGTACACCTTTAGGAACACCGCAGGCCCCAATTTTGCCATTAAGCAGAAGCCCTTTGGCTTCATAGCCATCCTAGAAACATGGAACCTGAACACTGAAACGGCCACATGATGGCAGCAAGGCATCACAGGGGATGCAGGATGCCACCGCCTCGGAGAACAGAAATGTGAGTGTTCAAAGCCTGCAGTCTTGCTCTTTATTCTACTACTTGCTTAAAGGAAATAACTAAAATAAATCATAGAATCACTTAGGTCGGAAAAGACCTTAGAGATCATCAAGTCCATCAGATCCTTTTCTGCTGGGTACAGTTCCAGCCACATTTCTCCAAGGCTTTTCTGCTGCATGGGTTGTTACGACTGCATAGTTCAAAGCAACTTTTGGCTGCTGTGAGAATATCAGCCCTTCCAACCCAAAGGATTCTGTTTTATGATTCTATGATTGTGTGACCTGCCTGTGTAAAAGACCTTTTTTGGGATAAAAACACAATCAAATGTAAATCCACATCTGATAAACAGTATGGATCCTGCATCAACCATAATAGTCAAAGCCTTCATCTTGACATTGACTCTAAACTGAGCGATGAAGTGGCTGATCCAGGCCTGATTATAGAGCAACTGAAGGAGAGGCATGTGCCAGCTAGAATGCGTTAATCGGAATAGATATTTTTTAACGTGAATTCTCTTTTTCCTGGTGTAATTTTAAGTTTGGGGCATGTGATAGGTTGACCCTGCTTACTCAGTGCCCCTCAGTGGGATGGGAGAGAGAATTAGAAGAGGAAAATCAAGAAAAAATTCTGGCTAAAAAGAAAAAAAAAAGGAAAATAAGTGATGCAAAGGCAATCACTACATCCCATCAGCAGCCAAATGTTCAGACAGTCTCCAAGGAATGTCAATCTTGGTACAATTTTCTCAGCCATGCTTTTATTTCTGAGCATTGTGTTATATGGTACAGAATATCCCTCTGTCAGCTTATGCCAGCTGTGCTGGCTGTGTCACCTCATTTTCTTGCCCACTTCCAGCCTTCTTGCTAGGTGGGGCGGAATGAGAAACAGAGAGGTCCTTGATGATGGGCAAGCACTGCTTTGTATTGCTTGTTAGCAATAGCAAAAATGTTAGTCATTATCAGTGCTGTCTCGGTCACCAGTCTGAAACAGAAAACCACACGGGCTGCTATGAAGAAAATTAATGCTGTGATTTTAAGGAAAAAGATATGGAAGTCGTTGTCTACTATCTATTGAATATGAGCAGTTGTAGGATGCTTTAAGAATGCTTAAAAAAATCTGTAAATACACAGACTAGAAAGGAAAAGGAATAAAGAAGAGTTGCTACCTTCTACGTGGGTATTCATCCTCTCTGGATGTTTTTTAATTGGATGTGGTGCCTGCAAAACAAAAACTCCTGCATTCTTGTATTCTGCAATACAAGAATGTGAATTATTACCAGTTCAAGCTACAGAGAAGGTGCACATTTTTAGTAACAAGGTTAGTTAGCTTAGTGTTCAATACAACAGGAGCTTTTTGTCCATTAATGGAATACCACCATTCAATAATAGCCTTCTAGAGGATACTTTCTTGTAAACAAAAGCTGTTGCCTGCTTTCACGCAGGAAAAGATTGGGGCAGTCCTGTGACCAGTAACGTCGTCATTGCATGACTGCCTGATGGACTCTCTGGGATGAACTTGAGTGCTTCTAAAATAATCTTTTAGAAACATAACCAAACAGACTCATAGAATGGCTTGGGTGGGAAGGGACCTCAAATACAGAATCATAAGTGCTTCTGGAAAAGATGTAAATGTTGCAATTCCTTTCCAGGATCATCTCGCAATCATTGTTATGAAAAATGAACCAGATGAAGTAATAAATGCTGGATGTTGCCCAAGTTTAAAAAAAAAAAGAAAAAGAAAAGGGACAGGAAAATGAAGATTTTGCCAATGAACTGAGTTTATGACTTAGTCAGTTTGATGTTTTCTTTGTTTTATTCCCTCACCTACAAAGAAGATCAGAAATGTGGCTTCAATTGAAAATAGAAAGCTACAAATACTTGTGTTGAGCAAATATTCTGACGTTACTGATCTAGAGAATTAAGCAATACGGAAAAAGGCCAGCTGGAGTCTTATTCAGGTTTCAGACATTCTGAGTAGCTAGTTCTTATTATGGTCTGTGTCTAACAGACATCTTCTAAGAGGACCTCACTTAAGCGAAAGCCAGTCACTGCCAGTAACTGCTGTGCGGCTGAACATGTTAATACAGGAATAGAACAGATTCCTGAACTTTGTGTCATCAGATGCAAGACTAGAGGCAGAAAATGGGGGATTTTTTTCCTGACGCTAAAAGAAAGTTTGTAAAGCTGAAGTCATACCAGGGCAATAGGGCTCATCAGGATTCTCTAATGTCTCTGGAGTTTAATGCTCTTACAGCCAAACTCCATGTGGGATCTTCTTGCAGGAATCTCTTTGCCTGTGCTGAGCTGGAGGACAGCCCTCTTGCCTGTATAAACCCACTGCTCACCAGCACCTGTAAGTTCTTGTTCAGCATGCTTCCCTTGTTTGCAGAGAGGCAAAACTGATTTCTCTCATTAACCACTGATAAGCCTGAGCACAAAAAAGAAAAAACAAATGGGACAGGAACGTGGCTATAGTTCCTATAATAGCAATAGTTCCTATTTCTGCAGTCTAGGGTCCCTGGTCTGAATGTGCTAGATTTTTACCTTTGTGCATTTCTTGAGTATCCTTGCGGTTATCAAATTATTAATGTTTGAGAGATCTGACTCAGAAATTTATTAAAAAAAAAAAAGAAAAAAAGGAGCTTCCCTTTTGACCAAAAAAATACTGAAAAAACCCAACCAACTACCTGAAAGGAGGTTGTAGTGAAGTGGGGGTCAGCCTCTACTCCTGGGTAACACTGATAAGATGAAAGGGAATGGCTTTATTTTGCACCGGGGGGGATTCAGGCTGGATATTAAGAAAAGTGATGAGGCACTGGCACAGGCTGCCCAGGAGGTGGTGGAGTCACCAGCCCTGAGGGTGTTCAAGAAAGGGTGCATGTGGCAGTGTGGGACGTGGTCTAGAGCGGTCACAGGCATGGACTGATGTTTGCACTGGATGATCTTAGTGGTCCTCTCAACCTTAATGATTCTATGGACCTATGATTCTATGAATAGCTAGTATTCTGTGATTGTTTCCAGCTCCCACTTCTATCTTGACTTCTGAGTTTCGCTTCTGTAGGTTGTGCGACTTCCACAGACTCCACCGAGAGCCCTCTCTCTGTAGTACCAATTGTGGCAGTTAACAAGCTACTCAAGGCGTCTGTCTCT